GCCGAAAGCCCGTTTCGGGCCGGTGGCGACATTCCCCAGCCGCTTCTTGAGTTCCTGGAGGATGACTTTGTTGGTTGCTTCGGCTTGGCCATTGGTTTGGGGGTGTTCCACCGAGGTCGAAAGATGTTTGATACCGAGCTCGCGAAGGAAGTCCTCGAATCCCTGTGCAATGAATTATCGGCCATTGTCAGTAACGAGGGTGTGAGGGATTCCGAATCTGCAAATGATATCCCTCCAGGTGAATCTTTGCACGTTCTCAGTAGTGTTTTTGGCGAGTGGGCATGCCTCGATCCACTTGGTGAAGTAATCGATCGCCACTAGGAGGAACTTCAGTTGACCTTTCGCAGGGGGAATGGCCTGAGGATGTCCATCCCCCACTGGGAGAAAGGCCATGTCGACATCATATGGTGGAGAGCTTCGGGCGGTTGCCGGTGTGTGTTGCTGAACTGCTGGCACTCTTTGCATTTTTGGATGTAGTCTTGGCAGTCCGACTTCAGAGTGGGCCAGTAGTACCCAGCTCGGAGTACTCTGGTCGCCATTGAGCGTGCTCCGGAGTGCATGCCACATATGCCCCGATGGATTTCTTCGATGACGTAGGCCGCCTGAGGCGTGGTCATGCATTTTAGTAGTGGGGTAGAAACGCCACGTTTGAATAGCTTGTCCCCAACAATGGCGAACTTAGCCGATCTCATCCTCATCTTCCGAGCTTCGTCCTTATCTTTGGCCAGGATTCCTTCTTTCAAGTAACCCTAGATGCCTGTCATCCATCCCAGGTCTTCATTTTCACTGACGTTGACGATTTTGTCGTCTAGGTTGGGTGAGTGTAAGGTCTCCTGGATGATAGTTCGATGCTGTCTAGGCCTTTTGGTGCTGGCAAGCATTGATAGGAGGTCAGCTCGGGTGTTTTGTTCTCGCGGCACATGCTGTATGGTGAACTCGTCAAAGGATGAGATCTAGTGGGATGCGATGTGGTAGTACCGCTGTAGAAGAGTGTCCTTTGCCTGGTACGTCCCACTGAGTTGTTCCACCATGAGCTTCGAGTCGCTGTTGCAACTCACTCTTCGAGCTCCGAGGTCGCGGGCTAGCCTCAGTCCTGCGAGTACTCCGCCTGGTTATTGGTCACCTTGAAGCTAAACTTGAGAGATTGCTCCAAGGTGAGTTGGTTTGGCCCTTCCAAAATGATACCTGCACCACCACCTTTAGAGTTGGAGGACCCGTCAACGTGTAAAGTCCATACCTGAGGTTCCTCGGTGGTAGTAGGCATGAGCTCGGCTACGAAGTCGGCCAGGCATTAGGCTTTCAGAGGTCTGCGACTTTCGTACTGGATGCCGAACTCTGACAATTCCACTAACCACGCAATCATCCGTCCGGCGAGCTCAGGCTTTCGCAGAATTTTCTTGATGGGGTAGTCGGTTTTGACTACTACTTGGTGACTCTGGAAGTAGGGTCGGAGACACCGGGCTGCGGTGACAAGTGCTAGTGCCAGTTTCTCGATCATTTGGTACCGCTTTTCCGCGTCTTAGAGGACTTGGCTGATAAAGTAGATCGGTGTCTGCACTTTCTGGTGCTCTTGTACTATTACTGCGCTGATAGCGCTTTCTACCACGGCCAAGTAAAGGAGGAGGTCAGTTTTGTGATCCGGCCTCTATAGGATTGGCGGAGTCGTGAGGAAGGTTTTGAAGCTTTGGAAAGCTTCTTCACATTGATCCGTCCAATGAAAGTTTTGTTGCTTCCGTAGTAGAGTAAAGATCGGCCCTGCCTTTTCTGCAAGTCTGGGGATGAAACGGGACAGTGAGACCAATCGTCCAGCTAGGCGTTGGACCTCCTTCACCGTTTGTGGACTTTGCATCTGGATGATTGCTTTACACTTCTCGGGATTGGCCTCAATTCCTCTGCTGGTGATCATGAAACCGAGGAACTTGCCTCCCTGGACGCCGAAGACGCACTTATCCGAATTGAGGCGCATGTTGTGCCTCCTCATCTGAGCAAACACCTCGGCGAGGTCGGTGGCATGATCTGTTACCGAGGTGGTCGCCCCCACGTTTTTGAGACCGAAAGGCATCACCTGGTAGCAATAGTTGGCGTGGTCGGTGATGAAGGATTTATGTACCTTGTCGGGTGGGTACATCATTATCTGGTTGTACCCGGAGTAGGCGTCGAGGAAGCTGAGGAGGGCGTGCCCGGACGCTCCGTCGACCAACCTGTCAATGTTGGGCAAGGGGTATGAGTCCTTGGGGCATGTTTTGTTCAAGTCGGTGTAGTCGACGCACATGCGCCACTTCCCCGAGCTCTTCTTCACCAGGACCACATTTGCCAGCCATGTGGTGTATCTGACCTCACAGATGAAGCCAGCGTTTAGCAATTTCTGTGTCTCGGTGATGATGGCTTCTCGCCTTTCACTGTCGACCTTCCTCTTCCTCTAGGCCACTGGCCTTGCCTCCTTATGTATTGCTAACCTGTGACAGATGAAGTCAGCGTCTATACTTGGCATGTCGGCGCTGGACCAGGTGAAGAGGTCAGCATTCTGGAGGATCTCAGCTTCGAGCTACTGTCGTAATTCCGGGCTCAACTACCTGCTGATTTTTGTGCACTGCCCGGGAAGTTTCCCTATCTGGAGGTCATCCAGCTCGTCAATGGGGCTCGACCGCTCCTCATGGGAATCGGACCTCGGGTCGAGATCGGCAATTTCCACGTGGGTGATGTGAGCCACGGTGGGAGGATCCTTCTTGCTTGGCTCGCCGGACGAGGAGATCTTCAGACTCTCGGCGTAGCACTGTCGATCTGTCTTCTGATTCGCTTTGACGGAGATTATTTTACCGTCATTTCCCGGGAACTTCATAGTGAGGTGTGGAGTGGACACCACTGCTCCAAGCTGATTTAACGTGGGTCTCCCAATGATGATGTTATAGGAGGTGTTGGCTTCTACAAGGAGGTATCGGACCATGATTCTCCTTGTGTCCGGAGAGATTCCGAATGTGGTTAGCAGGTCCACGTATCCCCGGGTGTGCACTCGCTCTCCTGCAAAACCGACTAGGGGTTCTGTGTGAGGTTGGATGAGACAGTGGGGGATGTCTAACCTGAGGAAGGTCGGCCAATACAGGACGTCTGCCGAGCTCCCCTAGTCTATCAGTGTCTTTTGCACCTCCCAATTGGCTACCTCCACGGCTATGACCATGGGATCATCCTGGTTGGGACTGACGCCGGCATAGTCGTTATCGGTGAAGGTGATCGGTGGCGAACTTTGGTGCGAAGTCGAGGTAGCGGAATGGAAAGTATTGATATTGCGCAGGTGTCTCTTCCGGGCTGAGCGGGTGGCACCTCCCCCTGCAAAGCCACCTGCGATTGTATTGATAACTCCCCGTAGGGGAGCTGATCCTGTTTCTTGGCTTACCTCGGCTTGCACTGCTCCGCTGGCATGCTGTTGAGAGCCAGAGGGTTGGTCCGTGCGAGCTCCTAAACCCCGGCCTCTGCCTCGTCCTCGTCCAACATGGCCTCCTCGGTGACCCTGTTGTCGCGGGACATATTGGCCGAGGCGGCCCG